TTTTTTTTTTTTTTTTTTTTTTTTTTAAGGCGTCAGACGTGCTCGTTAAAAGCGTTTTCCATGAAACATCCTGTAAATCAAGATCAAGCCCTGACTGGCACATTGCCTCATCCTTCCATTACCTCATCTCAACTCCCGCCCAAACCCCCCTGTGCCAAGCAGCAGCCCCGCACAGAGGCTGCTCCCCTCCGAGTAGCCTTGCACCGCATTTAGGGGTGAGTGAGCAGAGGGGAGATCAGAAGGGTGAGGGAAAAGGCCTGTTGAGGATCTCCTGGGTGTTTGCCTCAACTATATCTATCACTGAAGCTTTCTCACCTATGTGCCCAACTCGGACATCACTTCATCCTTCCCAGTCAACTCCTCAGCCCGTGGGGACCCCGCCTGAGCTTTAGCTTAGAGCCCTGGAGAGCCAAGTGATGACACGGAGCGTTAGGGGACCAGCTCTCCCTTACGCACCCAGAGGTTTCTCGCAGAGAGCATGTGGCAGCCAGAGATGCCAGCCCCTACCCCAGGCCCCTCTGCCCCCCTAGCCCTCACTCAGCCCTCCTCAGCAGAGCCCTGGCCAACCAGCCACGCTGGGCCACTGCCTTCTTGCCACATTCAGAGACTCCACGCACAAACAGGGAACAACGAACGGAACCTCCTGTCCTGGCAGATGTGGGTCATCAAACGGGCACGACTAGGCACAACAGCTGCCTGTGAGGCAGTCGTGCGCTTGGGAAAACCTGCAGCTAGAGGTGAGATACACCACAGGACCCCCCAGTGCTCAGCTTATTCCTGGAGTAACATATATCTTTACAGGAGATATGTGTTTACCTTGAAAAAACTCATTTTACACAGTCAGGTCTCCTGTGGACTGGTCATTTCAGAAGCAGTGCACAGCTACATTTGTGTTTGCAGGATCAGGGCCTTATTAAAGCACATAGCTTGACGTGCATATAAAGCATGCCCTGCAGGCTGAAGAGCGGAGCCGGACTATTGTAGATGTGCCAAATGAAATTTCCGTGTGACTCATAAACAGCCAGGTCAGTAACAATCTGACGGTGGCTCAAAGGGCTAATGAAGTTCTGAGCTGCAGGACTTGGATCTCCTGGTGCTGAGCAGGAGATTTCCAAGTAGAGCATTTAAAGATGAATAGCATGAGCTATGAGATACACTTACACTTGGAGCTTAAGTACTTGGTCAATATATATGTGGACTAATAAATTAACGAAGAAGAGCATGAAAAGACACAAACAGAAGAAGGTGACAGGACAGAAAATAATGTGTGAGAGACCATGATCCCCATAGCAGAAACTGATTAAACATCTGTAAATGGAAACTGTCCCTTGGGGTTCAGGCTACTTCTGGAGTAAAGAAGGTAGCAGAAAACATCCCAAACCTTTGCAATTCCTGCATTTGTCCTGTGGGAAAGCTTTAAAGTTAACACTGGTTTAATGCTCTCTCTTCAGCCCTGTTTTGTTTTTTCAAAGAGATACTGTTAGGCTAATCCTGTTATGCTTATCCTTAGCACATTAACATAAAGACAAGCGAAACCCAAGGCAGAGTGGGGTCTCTGCCTATGTGCAGAGCTTGGTGAGACCAGGACTGCTTATCAGAGCAGCTGTTTTTCTCACCTTTGCCCTGATTGTATACACAGCTGCACTGTTGCACATGCCAGGATAAGGTTTCCCAGGCTATAAGGAGAGTACTTTCTTATGATATGATTCCAAAATGCTTACAGGTTATGTGCAAAAAGTCACCTGTCCACTAAGAGACTGCAACCAATATGGCACAGGAATAAGACCTCAGGCAGAGTCCATTTTGTGTCCTCCCTCGGCTCATGCCACCTCAGGATATCCCCTTTATTTGCTTTTTATATACACTGCAGTTTCCAGCAGTCACTTACAAAGGGTGGCTGCTCCCAGGGCTTCCATTCAGAGGCAGGAGAGATTCTGACAAAAACAGGGGGATGTAGTAAAATTAGGAATTGTGTGGAAAGTCTGGTCTAGTGTCTGGGTCTTCCAACAGGACATTTAAATATTGTGCAGAGAGACAACAAAAGACCATCCAGTACTAAAACCCACCCCAGTGCTTACTGCTGTCCAAGTGCAACCGGCTCAAACTGTGCCACTTTATCATGGCTGAAACAAAAGTCCACCCTGTTCCTGCTAAAAAAAAAAGATGTTCCAATGAGCTACCTGTGTTATCAGTTTATAGCAGGGGAAATGAGTAAATTTGGTCAAAGCTGCAGAGAGATTTGTTCTGTAATGCACAAACATCCAGCTGGAACCATGCCAAGGCACAGGGATTAAAAACAACCACATTCCTGACTCTAGTGAAAAGGATGCCTGGGACATTATTAAAGTCAGTGTTTAGTTCTACAAATAGAGGTACAAGGTGAGAACGTGCCCTCTCTAAAAGCACATTGGAGAAGCATCTCCCCTTTTTCTCCACCCTGCTCTGCCTTCCCTGATCAGCTGGGCTCTGGCTGCTTGAAAGAGATAAAAAAAAAAAAGACTGGAGATGAATGGCTCCTGCACTGCCTCCAAGACACGGATCAACTCCCTCCCTACGAACAAACCACGTTATTAGCTCTGTGGGGGACAGCGAGAGAGCAGCGAGCAGGGGAGGTCACGCTGCACTCACCGACTGAAGGAGACAGGCTGAATCTCCTGTAGCGCCTGACAAAAATCTCTCAGAACAACCGTTTGTAAGACAGCATTTCTTTATTGCCTGTACTCTGCTTGCACACTGAGAAAACATGCTTAAGGTTGTACATTACAAAACCCACGATAGTTCTTGCCATTGCAATATGACAGCACTGATAAAGGTAATACGTAGGTTGGCCCGTAGCTGTGTGGCAGCTGTATTTCATGCTTTTATCTTTCACGTCCTGTGTACACAGTATGGGAGGTATGCATTCAGACCACGGCTACTACTCTCTTCCTCCTGCAGCAGCTTCCCAAATCCTGCTGCTGCGGGTGGGTAAACGTTAGCAGTACTGATGTGCTCCGACCAAAGATGCCAGTTCGCAGTCAGCGCCGCTCCTCACTGATCCGCAACTGGAGCATGAGGCAGAGGAATCACTGACAGCAACTCAGGGATGGGACTGACCTGTTCAACAGGTGAGCACATCTGTGCTCATTCATGCCCACGTTGCCTAGAAAGCTACATCTGTGTGCAGATTAGCGGTGCTTTCTGAAAACAGAGAGGATTTCCCTTCCCAGACATCGTTTCTTGCAAACACAAGCAGCACTGCTGGGATTACTCTAGACTCCCTACCAGCAGCCCTGGTTCCTTCTGGACCTCTTCCAAAGTTCTAATTCCCAGTCTCTGGAAGGCATTAAAACAGTTAAACACAGCATGAGCTGCAGCCAGGTGGCAGCAAGGACTGAGCAGGAACTTATTACTTTTAGCTATTCCTTTTAGTCAGGAATCCTGCTCTTCCAGAGAACTTCCTTTCCTGTCAGCAGTAAAAGGTACTGGGAGGAACCACGGAAATCCTTTGTACCACTGATGGGCTATAGGTGACTCAGAGCACTTTTCCTGCATGGGATGTTCCCAGAGAAATTTGTGCAATAAACAGATGTTGAGTAATCATCTTGTCCCAAGAGAGGAAAACAGCGGGTAAATATAGGCCTTCCCTATGCTGCAAGGCTGGGGCACTGCTTCACAGCTGCAGGATCACATCTTGTGCCTAAAACGTCAGTCATGTACAGAAACAGGCTCAAAGAAGAAGGGGAACAGAACATTATAAAAAACCCTCACTTAGTCCCACAAGGCATTAAGAGCAACAAGGGAGCTACAAACAGAAAGCGTCCCACCCCAGAGCACAGCAGGGGCCTCGTGCCCTGGCACAGCAGCAGCTGTGGTGAGACACATGCTTTTGGGGCCCGTTCCTACATCAGCCCGTGCCTCCCCTCACCCTGCTTTGCCCTGCTCCTCAGTGACAAGAAGGCCCCTTCCCAACGGGAACAGGTTCAGCCCTGCTCTTTCTCAGACCCTTCACCTGGCAAGTGAGGTTATTGCACAAGGTCACCGCAAGAGGAAAAGCTCCACTAGGAAGGTTTCACCCAGGCAGCTGCCTTATGTTGCCAGCCCCGGCAGGTTTGAAAGCATTGTGGTCCAGGCAGCAGGGTGGGATCTTCCAGTACAGCAGTGAAGTAGTTCCTAGTTGCTGGAGCTTCTTCAGGAAAGGATAAGAGAATGGGAGGAAACAGGCAGCAGTCAGCCTTCACACAGGCTATATATGGCCCCCTGGGATGTACAGCACAGCTCCTGCAACGGGTTATGAATCAGCAGCACAAGTGAGTCCCAGGGCAGCTGCTCTGTGTCCTGTAAACACAGAGAGGGGCAGTGACAAAGTGAAGCAAGCCACTGGGATGACTCGTTTTATCAGTTCATACTACACCCACATATGGAATCAGTATTAACTACAGTATTGGCAAGTCCAACCAAATTTTGCAGGAAATACAGGGCCTGATCCAGATCTTACAGGAACCGATGGAGGTTTTCCTGCTTACCACACCATGCTTTCAGTTGAGCTCTACTGTTACAGAACCAAGAGGAGATGCTGCTCTGAGACAGATGGTTGACTATCTAGAACTAACCCAAATTTAAAATAATTTCTTTATCTCTTACACTAAAATTCTATTTAACACAGCGCCCACTGTGTCCTCCACTCTCTGCTGCTAGGCCACTTCTTTGCCAGAAAGAAAAGGACTAGACTTCATCCTCTTACAGGGAAGTGACCTCTCCAGACAGAAGACCCAGTCTGTGCTATTAGCCAAGACAAGATGAATTCCCCCAAAAGCAGCAGAGGCCCCCAGAGAGCAAGGCTGCACACAGAGTTGGGAAATGGAACCATGCAGATCATATTTGGCCTGATTTAGAGCCCTGAAATTCCCAGGTGGGAAAAGCTGCAGCTTCCCCAAGTCTCTGCAGAGCTGATACCATCAGATGCGGCTTGCTTGAAAGGAACCCCAGCTTCACAAACAGCGCTGGCACATGTCTCTTGCTGACACATTGACGTGCCTTATGTGCAGCACCTTTTCCTCCTGCTGACATCTTCCAGCTGCAGGGCATTCTCCCTCTGCCTGTCCTCTTGTGCCGTCAGCAACCTGGAACAAGCAGCATAGATCAAGAACACAAGCCAGTTACTGAGATCTTCCTGCTGAGGCATTTGGCTCTGCCCTTTGCTCCCCATCAGCCAGGGACATGTAGGATTGTAAAAAGTGACTGGCCCAAAGATCGGGCTTCTCTGAAAGTTGGGCTAGACAAACCACACACAGAAAATGACCATAAATTTCCAAGGAACAGGGAAAGAAACTGGACACATACAAGAGGGGGCAGCATGGCTGTCAGAACACCATCAGAGCACCAGCCCAGTGCGTGAGTGGCCTGTGCCTTCTCCCCAAGCGCCCACACTGATGGCAGAATCCCGGGCTGTTTGCTTGATCTGCCTGGGCCATCTTGGGCAGCAGCATGGTAATAAAACATGCTGAAGGCACATGCTATGGGGGACGTGATTCACCTAGCTAGTAAGTAAATCATCCCAGTCAATGAACAGCTAAGTCCTGCTGTGAACTTAACAGAGATGATGCAGCAGGAGGTGAAGGGATAAAAGAAAACAAAAGGATATTTTTCTTGCAAGATTGCAAAGACTTTTTTTCAAAACTACTTGCTTTTTTAAAAACTGAAAAATCTTAGATCAAACTTCTTTCAGTCTTACAAAGTGTCTTATCTCCCTTTAAAAATATTGCCACCAAAATGTCACGTTCTGTATAATGCTTAATAAGATAAGGAAGAAAAAACCCTTAGAGATGCATGCAGACTTCAAACTAAAAACGCCAACTTAAAATCTGGGAGAGTACACAAAGCTTTTGTGATGAAACATTCAAATTAAACTCCCCATCTTTCAACAGGTAGCTCTGCCAGACAAAGCTTTGCATGCAGTAAGATCCAGTCTACACTTGATGCTCTCTGGGCACAGAAGACAAGGATGTGGACTCAGGGGGAACAGCATGTTACTCCAGGTCTTTTTTGTGACTGGATGAAAGTCAGTCTCTGGCAATCCCCTCTCCCTGCCTGTTCCCCAGGAGAGCCCACACCAGTCACTTCCAGCGGGGGAGATATCCCAGGGTGACTGTTGCTGTTCGCTCACCTGGCCATGTGCAGCATGGGCTCCACGATGTTATAGCCAGTCATCGCGCTGCACTCGTAGAACACGGCCTTGTATTCCTGCCAGAGAGCACAGCAAGCACCCACTTTGGCTGCCAGCCACCCCCGGGAGCTGGCCCACCCTCTCCAGGAGGGTTGCTGCTACCCCCCCGCTGGGGCACACACCCTGCTCACCCACCCAGGAACAGGAGATGCTTCTTCAGCACTGGGGGCCCAGCCAGAACATGCATCAGGGGAGTGCTCAAAGGGAGAAGAGTTGGACGTGCTCCCCTCAGAAACACTGAGCAGCACTGCAGGGAGGTGTCAAACCTCAAGAGGCCATTGTCTGCCACATGCTGGCCACCATCTCATCCTCCCTGGCACCAGAGGGACCTCAGCACACAGTTACATTGGAGAAACAAGGAGCGGGAGGGGAGAGGGAAGGTACCATACTGGGAAATGGCTCCAAGAAGGGCTTCCTGCCAGCCAGGCTGCCCTGCTCACAGCTGGAGGGAGGCTGCAGAGCAGGTCGAGCAGCAGAGCACAGAGTCACACCTTCGCCAGCCTTTCCCCCTCCACCCTGGGCACATTCCGGGTCTCTCTCTGTGCAGCATCCATTTTATTCCCAAGCAGAAACACCACAGCTCCATCCTCAATACCTTCCTGCAAAAGAAACAGAGTAAAGCACCCCAGAGACTCAGATGAGGGAGGGAAGTATCTGGAAGCAGATCTTGTTCCACCTTTGGTGACAGGAGGATCGGGCCCTTTAGTGCATTAAAGGGCCATTCCTCAAACAGCCCTAGGGATTTCTGGAATCTTAAATTACAGGAATGTATTTCAGTTGTTTGGTATGTACAGCTGGAGAGAGGGGAGACAGGACATAAGTTTCTCTCTGGGAAATAACAAGCCTAAAGAAAAGCAGTTTGCCCCATAGGCTGTTGGGAATTTAAGTTCAGGCATTGCTTCTTATTAGTTCAGTAGGTTTTGTGTGCTATTCATCTGATGTGCTGTCCTAAACTCAGCGATCCCTTGCTGAAAATCCAGGGGCGAAGCACGCTAAGCGACTTCCAACTCATGTAGGGTCTCTGCAGGAACTGTTATTCCTAGATGATTCCTGGAGCCTATTACCTTTGGTAAAACTCCCTCTAGTTCCACTGGCTCACTAGAACATCACCAGCGTAAGGTCTGCAGGATGGGGCTTGAAGTTATTTCCAAACTTGACTGCCCTGCATGACTTACAATACCTGAACAGCTTCAAAGCCAGATAAATACTAGGAGGTGGTAAGGAAACAGAGAGATTATTAAAAGTTACAAATTTCAGGTGCTTTGACTTTCTGTGTGCTCAGTTTAACCTTCCTGAAAGGAGCCTGATTTTCAGAGGCTGGTTAGTTTTGAAAAATCTTAATCTTTGATCTTTTAGAGTTCAAAGAAATAGCTGGTTTATTTGGGTTTTTTTTTTCTGAACAGGCCTGTGGAAGTTAATGTTAGAAACCTCCAATCTATGCTTATTCGTTTCACTTAGATCTTCGTTCTTGGTTTTTGAAACTGGGCACAATCAAAACAAAACCATCCCTGATAATTTCGCTTCAGCTCTGAGTCATCTACATACAACTTATTTAAATTATACAGATAGGTATTTTTGTCTCCCCAAGCAGATGCAGGCCACAGATGAATACTTTTATTGAGAGTTTGGAAATAAAAAGCAGGGGATAGACTATGGTATTAATACACAGTCACCAAATAAAAAAGAAAAAAAAATGTGTTAAAGTTGAAGCAAATGAGGACAAAAACTAAGCTATTACTAATGGATTAGTCTCATGGAGAAATCTCAAAGTCAGGATGTGATCATGCGAAGCGCAGTGCACGCATGCTGCAGGTCTGAGCCTAAACACACCAGGGCTGTCTGTCTCCCTTTCCTGAGCATAGTCTGGATCCCAGGAGATCTCCTGAGCACAGGTGTGATGTGATGGCTTTTAGGAGATGTTGCCAATGCACATGGGCTGCTTACACACACACACTACTGTTTTGGCAGGCCACCCCACCTTCTGCCATAGAAACAGCCCTCCCTCTTTTAATGGGGTACCACTGGCTTTGGTACTTTCAACAAGAAGCCCCTGGTCCGAAACTGACTACCACAGGCAGCACCCATGGCATCTGCTTTGATAATTCATCTTCTCAAGGTCAATAGGACCTCCTGTTGTTGGTCTTAGACCAGCCAGGACTGGGACGATGTGTTGAACAATAACAAACTCACACCAGTTTGTTGAAGGGGGGACACTGTCAAAAACAAATGCCACCACACTGTGTGGCAGCTCCCAGTTTATTCCCACTTGTTTACATAGGTTTGTTTTTACTTCTACATCCCACTGACCTTCAGGTTTTATCTGTCCACTGCTCACCATGCATTCTGCAGGCTGCGTTCTGACCCACTGTTTCTGATGCTTGCAACACGGCGTTCCGAATGTCACCTCAGTTACCCACAATCATTCTTCCAACCTTAAGGTCAGTTTACATTTTGCTAACTACCAATTATTAATTCCCACATCCTGGGGCATCGGAGAATGTTGCTCGCAGACAGACTGTTGGAGCCGGACTGGAGCGAGGCATCGGCAGCACTACCAGCATTTAGAGAGCTGAGCCCCCCCCCGCTCTCACCTGGACACTGCTCATCCAGTTCCGCACCGCCGTGAAGGAGCACTCAGCTGTAATGTCATACATCACCAGAATCCCATCTGCCTTCCGGAAATACTGCTTGGTAATGCTCCGAAACCTGGGCCCAAACGAAACCAAAGGCACTCTCAGAACCATGGCTGCATAATGACAAGAAACATAATGGGATTATCTGTCTTTTAGTGCAGGCTCTCTGCAAAGCTTGGCAGCTCCTGCGCATGAGGTGTCTCCTGGACACTGGTGTGCACAGACCAGTGACAGGTCAGATCCTTGCACCCCTGAGGCAGCCAGGGGCACGCAGGAGTCTTTCCAAATGCAGGGTGCTGAGAAAGCAGGAAGGAAGACCTTTGCAGGTCAGGAGGAAAGAAACAGAAGAATCTGTTTAGGTGGGATAGGAAAAGGTAATTGCCTATAAAAAGTGAAATGGATGGAAAAAACCATGACCTTTCTCTAGACTCTGGAAGAATCTGCAGACTAAGCTGTACTACAGTATAAACTAGGCGTGCATAATGTCTGCCCCAGTGCTGCCAAAACAGCAATTAAGATCTCATCATCAATAGTCTGTTTCCAGTTTTGAATCTATAAAGCAATGCCATCATACATAAAATCAGTAGTTAAACACAATTTCCAGGAGGAACTCCCACCAGACATCTACTTTGTCCTCTGTGTACCAGTTAGAACTACAGACTTGTATTTTGGGAAAAAATTTCAGCAAAACAAAACTCAAAAAACCCCACAAACAAAACACCCTCCCCCCCCCCAATCCCCAAACTTTAAAACCTGTAAGCATTTTGTGACAGGGCCATGGTAGAACCACACTGATTGCGGACTGATGGAATTAAATGAGACACGAGTACTGAGATCTCACTGGAAAGCTGTGAATTACAGCCCTGCTTACAGGCTGGCAAGATCTATTCTATTAAGAGCCAAGAAAACCTGCAGCAAGTAGTGACCCTCCTGAACTCCTCAGATGATTGCTTGAAGCCTGTTCTTTCTCACTACAGTAAGGGCATGATGTTCTGGCAACTACCCAACTGAGAAAGCACAGACTCTATCTTTGGCAATCAAGGTGCACCTCTGGAACTACAGCACAGGCTAGATGCTCCAGAAGAAACATCAAATAGAGGTTGCACCAGTCTCAGGGATGTCACCAAGGAGTTCTCCTTGCACACTCCAAGGGGTTCCTCTACCTCTTCCATAGGATATTCACAGTTGGACACCTCCAGACAGAAGCCATTAATATTTCTGTGTAAGGAAGAAAAGCTTTTGCTTCTTCCCAGGTCTCCTATTCAGTATCAGCACTGAGCCAAGTTTTCTCTTGCAAGGACAAGTCTAAGGCTTCCTAATGCTGCAGGGGCCTACCCTAAAGGTCCTTCTGCAGAGACAGTATTTTGAATTTGGCCTCTAATGCAATCTGGCCTCAGTAAAGTGTCACATTTCATGTCATAACAACTCCCCTTACTGCTCAGCTTCAGCACTGAAATAACCACAAGAGCCCCTTCAAAAATCATTATTTCTTCAGCATGAAGCTTGATTTTGGAAGAAATAGTTTCCTTTTCAATAGGTATTCCTGCTTAGTGCATTCCCACCAGGTCTGCATGCCAGCTGAGGTAGCCAGCATCATTACTCTGCTGGCACAGTTTAGTATTATAATATTCCCATGACCTCGGCTGCCTCCTAAAGGCCTGTCCCCATAACATATTCAGCCAAAAATACCCAGTACTTATTTTTGTCAGGGTCTTGAGGTTAACGGCCCCCTTGAAATAGCTTTTCATCTTCAGCTTCAAAATGCATCCTAAACAAAATCTAATTTACATGAAGACAGTGGTGGGCCTCATCTCTAGAAGATGAGGGTCAAGTGTGTCCTCTACTACTCTGTTCCTCACTAACAGTGCTGGTAATGTCTAGTGATGGCCCATGCTTTTGAAACTAGATGTCTTCAAGTGGGGAGCATGTATTCAGAGTCACAAAAAGCTATACTGCCCCTCTACCAAGGATTACCACTTCCATGAATCTATCAGCAGAAGGGACAGGGGAAGAGGCCAATAACCTTACTGACAGAGGCCAGCAGGGTAGTTCAGTAACCTGCACAGGTCAAGCTAATTCAGCTGGCTTTGTCTGAATCAGATCTGGAAAGGTTCACACACTCCACCCTCTGAATAGCAGGTGATGGTGAGCAGCTGGGGACAGCAGTAGCACAACTGTGTCTGAGAGCAGGACGCCTATCCAGAGCCATTGTTTTTATCCTGTTCTGCAGCCCTGTCCTGCAGCTTTTCTCAGAGCAGGCTGATGCAAGAGATTTGAGAGCTAGAAGAGATTTGAACCCCACACCGTACAGTTATTTATGGACAGACCACCACATGCCACAAGCATGCAGGTCAGACATATAGAAAACTACTTTTCCATCAGTCCTCAGAGCGACCTCCTGGGGGCCTGCTTTGCAGTCACAACTTCTAGCAATCCCCAAAACATACCCTTGCTGCAGGCTCAGCACTGGAATAGCTGCTGTGACCTCTCTGGTCCTTCTGAAGCTAACAATTTTCCCAAAGACAGAAACCAGGTGCACATACTCTTTTTCCCTTTCCTCCCATTTCCTCCACTGAGCCTGGCAGTAGGGCATTCTCACAGAAATTGCTTACCTTTCTTGTCCAGCTGTATCCCACAGCTGTAAGGCAACCTGGGTGTTATCCACCATCAGACTCTTCACCTGGTAATCGATACCTGTCAGGAAGGGAACAACGACCATAAGATAGGATGGGGAGGAAGCAGCTTGCCATTGAAATGGCCAAGATCAACACTATTTAGTTCAAGGAAATTGAAAGACTGATGGGAAATTGGGAGAGGGACCATCTTTACCTTTAGTTGGGGTAAAACGGGGGCAAAAAGCAAGTGTCCAAGCTGACTTACTCACCCTTCTTATCCAGATGAGTCAGGAACCCTCTTACTTACCGATGGTTGCATTGAGCTCAGCCAAGAACCTGTCATAGCAGAAGCGGTGGATGAAGGAACTCTTCCCAACACCGGAGTTCCCTACAAACACCACTTTAAAGATGCGGTCTGGGGAAGGGCTGGCTGCTTCCAGTGCCTGGAGCTACAATGGAAGAAAGGAGTGCAGTTTTGAAAAGCCCAGCTGCACATCGTGCTTTGGACCCCTGCACTATAAACCGATAGAGCTGGACTTAGATGAGAAGGGTCAGAAACCCTCAAGTCCCTAGCAGCAAGTGTTTGAAGAAGAATCCCAAGTAATTGGACTCACCCTGGTTTCGGTGCCAACGGGCTGACCTCTAGGAGGCAATGGAGCATCATCTAATCCATCTGCGTTTTTTCTACAGTCATCATCCCCCTTCAGAGTCATCTTCAACCACTCAGCATCTGCTGCCAGGGACCATCTCTCCTTGTCTCTGCTCTTCTCCCCGAAGTTTGTGCTGCCTCTTTCTCCTGTCTTCAGCCACGTCCTGTTGCCTGGGATGTATTTACAGTTCTTTCTGTTGGGTTCCTCCACTGCCACATCCACCAGGAAGGTGAAGGGAAGGTCCGCAGAGGCCAGTTGTCTGTATTAAAGCCCACAGGCACCACAAATAGGGTGGGAGGGTAGGGGATGAGGGGTGAGGTTGCAAATTCCCAAAACAATCAATGTGATCCAATTAGTGCATATGTAGCACTTGCAGGAACTCTACTTCATACATACACGCCCCATACTCCCTGTGACTAAGGCATCAGCAGCACCCCTAGGGAAAGAGAGACATCTCTGCTGTACTCCTATGTGCTGACATGTATTTAATTAATTTTAACAAAAATTCCCACCTTCTGGGTTTTTCAAGGATTCTTTGCCTCCCATTTCCCCCAGTACTGAAAGATGAGGCAAAGCATACAAAGGTGGCAACAGGAAAAAACATTTGTTTTTTTTAAAAAAGAAGCAACAACCTCCCCTCTATTTTTGTTACCAAATATAACACAAAAAGAAGTAACAAAGGTTTCAAGGTTAACAAAAAGGATTTTAACTGCAGGCAGTAGGGGAAGGGCTCGCTGATCATCCTTGGGAGGCCGCCTGCAGCATGCAGGTTACTGTGCTCTGCTGAGGGCACACACCTGTGCGCCAGGAACCCAGCCCATCGCTTCCAAACACAGCTGGAAGAGAGTTTCACTGAGTTCAGGCCACAGAAAGCTGCCACAGGAGTGCACACTGCAATGAACACACTCACACCAGGGCCACTTTGCCTGGTGCTAGCTCTGCTCTGGCCTGAATCCACACCTGGCCCAAGGGAAAGGAAACCAGGACCCAGAAGATGTTTATTTTTTAAAGCTTTGAACCAGACATCTTGTGCTCCCAACAGCAAAAAATCCCCAGGACTCCTGTGCAAGCTGTGGTAGTGGGGAATAGGTGTTGCACTGACCGTGCCCACACAAGAGCAGGCTGATGTACTTTGTTCACTGGAGGAACAATCTTCAAAAGAGCAGCCAGAATAACTGACTTAAACACTGGAAATCATTGCTGAGGAGCAAGGCAGCATCTTAGCTCTGCCTTGGCTTTCCACGATTAAAGAACTAGACGAAGGGAGTGAGAAGGCTTAGAACTCAACTGAAGGGCTTTATCCACCAGAGACAGCTCTGTTGCCTTCACTGGCCAACAGATTGCATTTGGAAGAAATTAGACCAGTCAATCTCTTCAGAGGCAGCTCATCCCACCTCTCTCTGCAACACCTTTCTTGCTACTAGTGCAGGAATCAAGGCAACAACTCTCCTCTCACTCCTGCACCTATACCTCATCAGGGCTGCAACACGCCTTCACTCTTCCCAGGAAAAGGAGCTCACATTCCTCGTTGTCCTCCCTGCATCTGCCACAAATGCCAGCCCAGAGCCAGGCCAGCTGGAACCTCTCCCCACTGAAAATAGACACATCCTCCCAGGCTTGGGCTCTGGGGAATAGCCCCCATCTCCCCAGGCTGGCAGCAGTTGCAGCAATGAAGGGCTGAGACTCAAAATCCTCTTCAGGTGAGGAAAAAAGGGACAAACAAAACTTTCTGAACAGTGACTCCAGATCTCATGGATTTTGTTCATATTTCTCAAGCAATGTGATGTGACAGCACTGGGACAGAGATGAGACCAACAAATACTTCTCCCCGTCTCACATCACCCTCACGATGTCCATGAGCCCAGAGCCTGAAGCTCAATTCTTAAATGCCATTACCAGAACTGCAAGCATTAAGAGTGCATTGAAGTTAAGAGAAACTCCAAGCCTACACCTATGTCTCTGGTTGGCACCAGGAGAAACTGGGAAGCAGTGAAATCTTCTGCAAAGACCTGGTAGGAAACAGGGAAGCGTGCCAGCCTTAAAACTTGTTTGGGGCCAGCAGTTGCAGGGGAGACGCAGCTCCAAGGCAGGTCAGGGCTGGGCTGCCCTCCCCTCCCCTGCCTCTCAGAGGAACCAGGCTTTTGTCCAGTGCTGGTGTGCTGGTCACATAAGTAGTTAACAAGGGCTGATGCTTAACGCCAGCACAGTGCAGGCAAGCAGGCGTATGTGGGTGCTGAAGCCACTGAACAGTCTGCATGTAGGATGAAAAAAAAAAAAAAGGCCTTAGCCACACAGATGTGTTTGCCTGCCCTGGCTGGAGGAGAGGCCTGATGTGCCAGGTGAGCATCTGCATAGGCATGGAGGGAGATGGGCAGGATGAGCCCACCTGGGGCTGGGCCCTCTCCTTGGGGCTTTCATCTGCCAGAGAGAACAGAGCCTTGTGCAACTCCTGCCCTCTCCCATGCCCCAGGGATACGGGATACTGGCATGAGGTACCATTGGACAGGATTTCTGACTGAGGAGGAACTTGGGAGATGATGCAGTCATTTTAACGGAGCTGCCTGACTCCGTCAGAGGCAGCCTTCATGACTCCCATCCCACAAACACTCCCATAGCTTCTGATGGCAATTAGGTTTGTTCCTCCATTGCTGCATGTAGAAGCAGCCCAGAGGGGGACCACCCCCCTGTGGAAATTAGCTAACAGCATCCTCAGCTTCACACTGAGCCAACACTCCTTGAATGCCAAGAGGCAGCTGGGGCCACAGTCAAGCTGCTACCCCTCCCTTGCTCCCAAAACCAGGCAACACCAAAGCGGGAGAACTAGACAGAGGACACAGCTTGACTGACAGGGTACTCCAGAGGGCACAGACTGACACCACAAACACAACACAGACGCCCATCTAACCGTTTGACCGGCTTGTCGTCCAGCAGGTAACTGCCTAGCACTGACCCTTTCTTCAACAGGGGCTTTTTGCTCTGAGGCGCCTGGAAGTTGAAAAGAGAAGAGATGATGAATGCAATTAGGACCCAGGAACCCGCCCAGCCCCAGTTCAACCACTCGCCACCTCTGCAGCCAGCTTTGGGAGGCAAGGCTGGAGCCCTCGCAGCCTGTAGTGTCCCGCAGAGGCTGAACAGAGGTGAGCACAGGGCTTGCTTTTCTCAGTTCAGCTCAGTTTAACTCATGCAAGAAGGCATCACTGTTCCTGCTTTCCCTCTTGCAACAAAATCCACCAAAACCGGTGGTGCCCCAAACTGAACTCTAGCCAGACAGAGCTTTTATTTCTCTGGCTTGGTCTCACAGCTGAACCTGTTTCCCCACCTGCCTTTTTATTATGCTGATGTGTTGTGGGACAGACTAGTACCCCTCCTGCGCTGGTACTCACCCAGAGCTGCACATGCACCATAGGGAAGGAAAGAGACTGCTCTGCAAAGGCCAGTGGCACATGCTCTGCCCCACACAAACATTCCCCTCCATCCTTTCCTCCTACTTACCTCAGACTTCCTACAGCCAGTGTCTACCAGCTCCCCAGAGAGGGAGAAAGCAGGACAACTCCTCTCACAACCCTCTTCCCCCCATACAGCAGCTTTGTAATCCCCAGCAGAATCAAAGGTGAGCAACTTGCCTGAGATCACACTGGAAAGCCTGTGGCAGAGAGGACTGACCTGCCAGCTCCTCCAGAGGCCACGCTAAAGCCTAGCCCCCTTACCCCCCATGGACTGGCTAACTTACGTGGCTCCACACAAAAAACACAAAGTGAGAGACAGCGTGGCAGGTTGCCCATCGCCTTGGCGCTGGGGGATAGGGAGATGTACTCTCTCTGGACATCTGGAGATTTCTGACACGTTCTCACAAGTTATTTCTGGGGTTAAAGGTGGGGAAAGAAAAGCTTGCAGCCTGCCAGCTCTGCCTCTGGCAGCAGGTCTGAACTAACCAAACACCTGCAGGCAGCTCTGGACAGGCCTTCTTTAGTGCTGCCCACAGCCCAGGGGAGGAGTACGAAGATTATTTCTTCAATAACCCCTGGCTTATTTTAAGAGGCAAAAAATTAAGAAGCTGCTCTGTTGGCCAGAACTCCCAGGACACCTTTATGCAGTCCCACAAAAGGAGACTGGATGCCACAGAGGGTCTCACCCAACCAGGAACTCTGTGGGAAAAGAAAAAACAAACCCAAAACATTTTTTACATATAAAACTGGTGTTCAAGAGAAGCTCCAGCCACAGAAACAAACCAGCATCGCGAGGGTCACAACTGTGGAGCACATATCTTCCAAGGCAAAGGACCCCCAAGTGCATAGCAACCCTTCAGTCAACACTGGCATCAGGCTGTGCTTCAGCCAACCAGTGGTTCTGCAGTGGGGATGGAGGAGGAAGCTGTCAGGGTTTGAGCAGGTTCACTGAAGGGCACTCTCTAGACACCCAGAAAAAAAATATATTTATTATAGCCCACTGGAGCTGAATCGCAGCCTTCAAGTCACCTGTGGAGGAAAGGGACTCCCAGGCAGTCTGGTATGGCACCACCCTGCCTGGAGAGCAAACAGCCTGCGGAGTACATACCTGGGTAAGAAAGGAGAAACAATGGGGCTGATCTGCCATTGATTCTACCATGCTTTATTGGCCTGCCAGGTTTGTGTAGCATGTGGCTTTTCATCAGGATGGTAAAAGGACAGACGTGACATCACAGCTGTACAACACATGATGGCAAGGACAACAGCACACCTACAAGCATTCTGGATGGGAAAGATTCTGGTTTATCAGTGGGACAGGAAAAATTCTGGCTTATCAGTGAAATACATCTCCAGTGTAGTCAGAGTTCCAAAACACTCTTCTTGATGAGCAGACATGAAATTTGCTGTCAGCATACAGCATGCAAACATAACTCCACAGCCAGATGGGTCATGGGTGTGAAACTGAACCCGCAACCCCTGAATCTCAAAACACCCAGCATGGGTTTGCACAAAGGCAGAAATAGCCACACACGGCTATCTGTGACCTAGCCACCGGGGCAAAACAGTGCCCCACAGTGCTGTGGTGCCAGGGTCTGCCCGCCCGGGCAAAGCCAAAAACTCTTATGAAGAGCAAGGTATTAGGCTGGGTACGGAGCAGTGCAAAGGAGCAGAAGCTGGGTTGCTATCAGCCGCGTACAGCCCGACTCCTCCTTCCAACCACTTCAAAATCTTTGCTATGAAAGAACCACTGTTACCACAATGTCATTTCACAGAAACAACACAACTCTTCCCAGCACTAACAGAGGGTATTAAGGCCTTGGGGTTTTTTTTCAGCCTGTAAGAACACTGACATTCTCTGGAGGCTGGACTCTCCTTCTTGCTGCTGCAGGGAAGCACTGCTATTTTCTCTTCCCCTTACAGTGGGACAGGCTGGACAGCAGATCTCCAGGTGTATGATGATAGCAGCATCTCTGCAATCCCTCAGGGCCCTGGTCTCCTCTGGACTGAAACCAGAGTGGCCAACAAGATGTCCTGGCTGACAGTGAAAAAAGCCTTACTCCGGTGCAGGCTTCCTCTGCCCAGCGCGACACAGCCACACCAGATGAGCGGTGGTGACAGGAGGAGTTCCCCCCCTGCTGCCAGCACAGGGAGATCCAGGAGAAAGCAGCTCCTCTGTACTATCTATGACTCTCTTTTAGGTCCACCCACAACTTGTGGTCGTGTTTCAGAGCAGCTCTGAGCAGGTTCTAATGGGGGAAAAGGAGAGGAGACTAGAGGAGCGGATGAGCTTTGTGCACACAGAGGTACATACCTGAGCCGTGGTCTCCACGAGCCACCCACCCCACCCATAGCGTCCTAAGAGCTGATGAAACATTATACATGGAAAGAGCAGAACAAACCATTTTCTTTGCCCGCTTGCACTGGACTCTGCTAGAGAGTGACTGTTTATTACTTCTCCAAGAGGGAGCAGGAAGCTCTGGTGCACATACACATACTCAGCAGCTTTAAAAGTGGAGGGGGGGGAGGGGGAACAAATCAGATTTCAGAAACACACACACAAAGGCACACGCACACAGACCTCACCTCCATCCAAAACAGTTACTGTATTTTATACAGCTGCTGCTCCACTTGGAGAACTCCAGCCTCTCCCCCAGCAGGGCATCTCATCCCCGGCCTGGGCACGATCCCTGCGTCTCCTTCCCTTACACCCCAGCCTGCCACTCACTGCCTGTCCTCACTGCAAGGCAGCTACTGCCAGATCTTCAAGTAGGGCACGGTGCCAGTGCAGGCAAAGGTATCTGGTGGCAGGGATGGGTCGAAGAAGAGCACAAAGCAGCCTTGCCAGTGACATTTGGGAACACGGACTTTTTAGTGAAAAAACAGTAAGAACTAAAACTAGATCATGTATTTGTACTTATCTTGGAGACTGGGCAAGGCCAGAGATGGAGTCGACTGTTCCAGGGTCAGAGGCCCCCTGCTTTCCCCTAGCCCTGACACAAGGCTCACTGCTGCCCCTCCACCCCAGCAGAGCTCCCAGGAAGGGGGACCTGCCCCAGAGGAACATCTGAAAACATCTGCTACAGACACATGGGGTCTGAGAAACTCCAAAACCTTCCCGTGCCCCTCCACCACTAGTCAGGCGGCAGCACATCTGGGAATCCATCTTCTTCCTCACCACCCATCTCCAGGGACACCTCCCGCTCCACTCCCCTCCTTGCACATGCCCGGTGCCTGTCACAGCACAGAGAGCCCCGTGTGAGCAGCAGAGCCACCGCAGCCCTGCGCGGGGCTGCGTGTCAGTCACAAGCTAACGCGCCTTGTGTTAAACCCGGGCAGTTGGCCACAGCAACCAGCAGAGCTTGTCTCCAGCACGGGCAGAGAGGTGCTGCAAAGTCTGTATTAAGCACTACATCAGGCCTTGTGAGCTCAGGTCATTGTCCCCCGTGGAAGTGACAGTGCCCTGAGTGGTGACAGCAACAGCCGCAGATGAAAGGAGGGTGGTTGGGAATTAAGATTTTCTTTCTTAGACTAACCAGCTTCTTGGCTTCAAAAGCGTCTCGCTCGTCTCGAAGTTTCTTGTTCATCTCTCTGCTCCAAAGGAAGACACAGGAGAGACACAATGAAGCACTCATCAAAAATAAAGACCAACATTTGAAAACTAGAACAGAAAAGGAGCTTGGGACACAGATAAAGATGTTATTTATTGCCAGAAGGGTTCAGATTTCTGCGTATCCCAGCTCAGGCAATGGGCTCCATATGGTGCCCTTAGCCAACAGGAAAGACTAAATTTCTCCAGTGGAGGGATTACTTGGTGAAATAACACAACCTGGACTCTGCCAGAGCTGGCCAGATTGCGCAGCTGTGTCTGGACCTAGAAAAACAAGCAGTGTCTGAGCACTGCTGGAATACACTCCCATATTTCTAAGCGAAAATAAGCCCAGTGCTGAAACAGCCCCTTCATGCACAAGAGCTCAGCATTTCTCCCAGCCCCATTCTTACCTGAGGAGTTCCAGCTGCCGAAGGAGGCTTTGTTTCTCTTTCTGCATGTTCTTGGAGACTCTAAATACATCCCTGGGTAAAGAGGATTTTAAAAGGGAAAATAAGTTAATGGGAAAGGAAATACAAAGATCCCTTTCTCAGGGACACTTAGGGTATTCTCAGAGATAAGGGCCTGCCCTACGCCAGGAGAGTTGAGAGGCAGCAGCACTGCCGCGGGAGCTGGGGTGGTTGGGTTGTACCCCAGCTCTCTCGCCCTCCTCCAACGTCAGGGCAGGCAACCCATTTTCTCCTTTCATGCTCCACGTTCCTCAGCTGCTAGAGATGAGAAGGATGCTCACTGCCATCTGGGTCTGAAACACTCCAGAGTTTTAGCTAAGTATGATTAGATTAAGCCCAGAAACAGGAACACAAGTGATAGGAACTTCTGTTGGCTGTCGGAACTTTACAGAGGTGATGGTGAACTGGAAAATACATGGAGGAGAAGCCTCGTTTAGGCTGAGGAACATCTGTATATTTTACAGAATTTTTTACTGCTTTTCTAGCCAAATATCAATGAACATATTAATTTTCCACTAAAGGCAGCTGGGAGGGAGCAACATTGCTCCCTGTTTCTGCCTGTAAGACCACTGGGACATTACTTTTTTTCCTCCAGACAAGACAGACAATCCTCTGATGAGCCGAAGGCTTCTAATTAGAGATCGTTATTCTTAAACTACTTTCCCATCCTTCCTTCCCTGCCTGGGTCCCTGCCCTGACACCCCCTTCCCTGCCCATTCCCACCTGTCCTTCTGCTCTTGCTCAAGCTGAGCCTCTTTCTGGAGCTTCTGTAATTGCCCCTTCACTGCCTCCAGCTCCCATTTGCTCTTCTCCAGCTCTTCCAGCAGGTTTTCATTCAGGTGCCGCAGCCTTTCGTTCTGCACGCGGGTCTCCAGCTGCTCTGAGTTCAGCGACTGTAGCTGATGTTCCAGCTGCAGTGGGAGAGGAGGGGTTAAACACAGAGAGGAAGGGTTTTGTGCTATAATCACAAACAGGCTGAAAAAGCAGATGTAAACAAGGAGGCAGAAGGGAGGTAAACACAACTTGGGTTTACCAGACCACCCGTGTCACTGAGAAGGTGAAGTGGAAGCAATTATTTCTCATCGTGCCAGCAGTGGGGGGCAAGCAATGCAATTAGTCAGGCATAGCTGAGGAAGCGCTTCAGGCAGTGTGAGGAGCTCGCTGCTGTCAGGCTTTGTAGAAATCAAAGTGCAAATGAGGGTCAAACGAGGACTGGAAAAATTTGGGCGGAAGCAGGGGTGTGTCTGTCTGGACACATTAAGCACAGTTGTTGAAATGCATCCTCTGGTTTGGGAGCTTCCTAAGCCCGTGGCAGCTGAAAGAGGGGCATACCAAGGTAATAGGGGTATCTCACATCACGTCTGGGAAGTGGCCTTGACTACTGCTGCAGACAGGACCTCGGCCTAGAGATGTTGTTTTAATGCCACTGGGGCACATCTGCTCTCTAGGCAGCACAAGACCCCAGCAAAACGAATAAGCCTGGTTTGGGAAGTTCAACGCCTGCTGTCATGTACCCAACTAGTGATGTGATTCCTCACAAATGGCTGGTGTAGTCTGGGGAAGGTCAAAGACAGATCCAGCAGCCAAACCCACCCAGCTCAGATGACAAGCAGGGCACGGCAAGAAGGATCGCACTGACCCTTCAGTATCTAGCCAGCCATACCAGCTAACTGGGGCCCTCTGCTGAAGCTGGTGCTATGCAGAAATTGTGGTACCCATCTGAGAACTTACAGCCCCCAAATAAAATCATACAATTCATGCTTCCAACCAGAGAGGAGCACCAGGAACCAGTTCTGACCAGTGCAGTAGGTGGCAGAGTCAGCCTCCACATTTCTGCCTTCAGCTTTTGTCTTTTCTCTCAGCCTACCTTCTCCCCCTCTCAAATGGAAAGTAAAGCAGCACACTGAGGCACAAGTGCTTCTTTCTTGCCACCCTGCTCTCTGCCAGCACACACATACAACAGTCGTGAGCTGGAGTGAACAGAGCTGACCTCTCCTAGGTTCCCTGAAACACGAGCCCCACATCTCTCCCCACTGAGGCTACAAGCACAAGTCACACCCAGCTTTATCTGGAGAATTCAAGTCCTTGGGATATCAGGGAAAATTTGAGCATGACCACGTCTGCTGAGCAGTGGAGTTGAGACTAAGAAACAGCAACACCTCCTCCCAGTCTTTGGATTTTTCAGTAAACCAAGAGACAGGCTTTAATCAAAGCACCCCGGCCCCTCCCTAAGAAATCTCTATCACACACAACTCTCCCGTTTATGTTGCCTGTACTTGGAAGCAACACCGTAGAACAGCACAGTCACAATACCGGCCTTACACCACAAGGGGGACCTGATTATCTGCACAACAGTACAAACCCCAGAATTAAGAGCATCAGAAATGACCATTCAATTAAGATTGAGTGTCCATGGAGCTCAGTACAAGAGGAGATGCTACCCAGGAAGAGCACGCCTGGACACCTAACTGTGGTCCATTGCCCTCATCCAGCCCCAGCAACTATGGTCCCTGGCCTAGGGATGTTAGTGACCATGTCCCTGACTACACCTCTTTTTAATAAACATCTACAATCCTGTTGTCCATTTGTTCGTCCAGTCCATTTTTGAACTGCTGATATTGCCTGCCTCCTGCGGCAAAAAAACCCTAGCACTAGTCTCTGGGTAAATCAAATTCATACTGGTCTCACTGGTGTCCCTCACCTCTGCTGTTGCAGGATTCAGGGAATAACAGTTCTATGTGGACCCTATCCACCACATTCCCGAGTCCGTAAAGCTCACTTACATCTTCCCTCAGTCTTCTCCTCTCCAAAATTAAGTCTAAGCTTTCCTAGTTTCTCTCCCTAAGGCAGATGTTAATTTCCTTAATCATATTAGTTCTCTGTATCTTGATACTCAAGGAGGACACAGTGGAGTCAGAGGAGACCAGAACTGCACACACCAATTGATACACATCAAGGGTGTGGGCAGCAGGAAAATTATGTCCTTTATCTTATCCTCAATACCCTTCCTGACAGGACCGAGGTTTTGCTGGCTTTTCCAGCTGCTGCACAAAGAGCTGATGATTTCAGAGAAGTGCTGTTTCACCCACATCACAGCTAGGTATCCAGCCTTGGATACCCCTAGTCGCCAGCATCTTACAGGTACCTCCCATGACTTGTTTCTGTGGGGGTCATGTCTCAGTTCTTCAGACAAAAAGGAAAAAGAGATCCAGAACAGACCATCCCATATGAACATTCATGCCAGGGGCAGAAAGCTAACAAAAAGTTTCTCCTTTGATCTTTTCGGTGACTGATTAATCAGTACGTGATTAGGTGCTGAAATGTAAATATACAGCACGTACAGCTCTAAGTGCCACAGAACTGTTCACTCTGGGTTATTTTGGAGTGGCCAGAAAACAAACTAGATAAATCTGACTCTTGTACATCCATACACATCTTTCTTACACACTGCAAAAGGCTCCAAACTCCCAACTTCCAAATGTTTACCCCGTCTTTCTTGTCAAACAGTTATTGCACAGCTGATAGGAAGATTGGGCCAAGAGAAAACCAAGCAGATAAGAAAATGCATAGACAAAATATTCACAGGAAGACGTTACAGTTGAAGACAAATCAGTCACTTGGCAAACCACTTCAATACCTTCAGAGACAGGAGAGAACTAGACTAGCTAGTACCAGATTAGCTAGCACCAACCCTCAGCAGACAAAAACCATTCTCAGACAGAAAAGGCCTTAGCAGGACAGTAGAAGGGGATGTGCTTCTTTAGAAAGGATTTGGGTCCTGTTACCTTCTTCTGGCGGTAGAGGATTTTCTCCAGCTCCTGCTCTTTGCTGCGCAGTTCCTTCTGGAGCAGGTTACTCCTGTCATGTCTCAGTGCTTCCTGCAGAGGGAAAGATACACAGCTGTGAATACAGCAGCCACCACAGAAATAGCTGTTCTGTGGCCAGGTGAGCCACCACCTCTGCTTCAGACCAGAAAAAGCTTGACTTCAGCCAAGAGAGATGAGGTACCTGGCAGATCAGCCTCTCCCTTTCTGCTTTGATCTGTTGCTCCATTTCTTCATAAAGGCACCTGACTTCTCGGTCATGGTCTGTCTCCTTCCTACAAAAGGCAGGGTGCACACAGGTCAGGAGGGAGAACAAGAATACAGAAAGGAATCAGGAGAGAAGCAGGGAAGCAGATTCCCACTAACAGCTGCGTGGCACTGAATGGGATTTTAACCCAACCAAATGTTGTGAGTGGACACCGATGTAGTACAAACCCATGGGGATCAGATCAAGATAAAGAGTCATTTTATTAAAGCAAGAGAAATCTCTGCATCCTGCAACGCAGTCTCTCCTTGCATTTGAGGCAGCATCCAAGTATTGGCTGATTCTTGACAGCAAATGGCCATGAAGTTCTCCTTACCGCTTCAGTGCCTGTTCCATAGACTCCTTCTCGTGATTCACCTCCCTTATGTATGATGAAACACGCAACAGAAACTCTTCAAAATTGGATAAGAGCTCCGGACGCTCCTTTCGTAGCCGAGCCCAGAGCTCCCGAATCTCATGTGGACTGGAGCAAGCATACAAGAGAGAAGGAAAGCAAATGAATTTCTGTGTCATCTTACAGACTGTTATTTCAACTCCAGCATGCACTGGGGACAGACAAACTGCCCTTCTCCTGTGACGACCTCCATTGCACCGTCACAGCTAAGAGGGAAGTTGGACAGTGACTGAGTATGCATGTGGATGAGATCTACTGCAAGGTTAAAACAAAGGAAGTAATCTGAAAGAGGAAAAGAAAAGTCATCTAGGAACCAAACCTGGAATGATTATTTTTCCAAGTATTCAGCAATAACACATTTGGTGACTAAAACAAGCCTCAAAGAGATGAACATTCAGCAAATTTGCTGTGAGCTATAGTCAAGCAGCAAACTGCTATAGCCCAGGGATTTCAGCACACATCACATAGGTGTTTTTCTCATACCAGGGCTGTACTGGTGGATGCTACTGTCCTTCTTATTTAGTTATTTTACAAGTTTGGAAACTGAGGCACAAAAAAAAAAAAGTAAATTTGCCCAGGTGTCACATCAGGATAATAATGGAGGAAGCCCTGAAAACCCAAAGTCTTCTTTTTTCTGAACCTGCAACAGTGATTACACTGTTTTGGCATTGAATTCATCACACCCTGGAACAGAGCACTTATAAACTTACTCTTTCCCAAAGAGTCATAAGCCTGCAGACATCACTTCATGCCTCTTTTTAGGGAAGAGCCTTTCATTACTATTTTAATTTTTTTTTTTAATCCATGAAGTACTTTGGAGGAACTGCCTTGAAATATAATTATACCTATAGACATTATCCAAATAGATGTTTTTTCTTTGTCTACGTATCTGTCTCCCTTGTGAAAAAACAAGCAAAAAAACCAACTAAAAAGCTCTTGATTCCCCCTGCCACCATTGCATGATAACCTCCTTTTTCTGTCCCAAGTTGAAAAAGTTGCTAGCACTTCATCAAAACTTCATGTTTTAGATAAAAGAACATACAGAGTCCCATAAATAAACAAACCCATTTCTTTCTAGTAAAAACAGTGAAGATGGTTCAGATTCCTGCTCTGACCCCAATTAGCTTCTGTTTTCTATTCTTTACAACAGCTGGCTTGGCACAAAAGCATGACACGAAGTAGCTACTGAACTCACTGCATAAAACTGCAAGTAAGTGGTCAAAATAAATAATACCACTTTAGGACTTGATGCTTCTCAAAGCAGAGTTATAAACAGCAGAACAGTAACATGGCTTTTCAGTGCCACCTCATTATTTGAGGCATAACAGCTTTCCAGAGTTTTTCAGGACAGAAGTTGTTTAGCATTAAAAGAAACACGCAGGTGCGTTGCATCACAATGCAAATGAGACAAAAAAACCTGTTTCATGACAGATGCAGCTCTGAAAGCAGCAAACTCCTTCACTCTCAGCTTTTGTCTCCAATGCTGTCCACCTCCTGTCCCTACCAGGCTGCTCGCTGCAAATAGGGAGCACTGTTGGACTATAATGCCTGAAAAAAAGATGCAATTGGGCACCCCAGTCCCGGCAGATGTGCATCAGTAAGAACCAATATATAACCATAATGCTTCACTTGGGAAGGCCCTAAAAAATGGCTGTATGACACCAAGGCCAGTAGACTCTACTGGGGCTACATGCAAGGGCATTCATATAAAGTTTCAAGGCTCAGGTGAACATCCCTTGCTCAGTTTAGCCTTTCACACTCTTCAAGATCAGCCCAGTCCCAAGCAGCTCCTTGAGCTTGGGACTCAAAGTCTCTTTCACAGAGACTCTTAGAACTAAGATTGTCTGAACATATGTGAACAGTCACACACCATTTTGGAACAGACAGCACACTCATCCTCCTTACCTCATCTAACCCCCACATGCTTCTTTTCATTTGCTGCATGCAGATGGGCTTTCGTGCCACCAACTGTTACATTTTACAGCTGTGGTATGAACTCTAGTTTGGGAAAATATTTACAAAAACTACAGCACTAAAAGTAATTGATAACTGATGAGAAAACCCAGCCTTCACTGCATTTGTTACCAAGCATATGAAAACCCAAGACAGCAGTACAGAAAGCCCAAGCATCAGTTCACATCTTTGGGCTTTGCTGGTACTTTGAAGCTTTGGTATTGCAAGATCAAAACAGGGCAGAAGTAATGCCATGAGACTCCCCTACTTACTCTTCAAACATCTGGGCTGCTCCAAGCTGCTCCATCATGGAACAGAATCGTTTCTCTTCATCATCATCATCTGCCGGGTCCAAGTCATCTGTCCAGCCTGACTCAAAGGTCTCCTCGTGTCTGGAGTGATCCATTCTCCCAGCACCTTGACACAATTCAATCCCTAGTAATTTTCCTGGTAGAAGGAGAAGGGAAGAAGGAGAATAAGAATAAGTCAAATTGGATGTCACTTAATAAGCTGTTATTTAAACAGCAGCCTGACTGCACACTGCTGGTCTAGAACACAGCTCCTGGTCAGTGAAAAGCCTCTGTTCTGATGTCCTGAGTGATGGTCAGTCCAGTCTGCAGTGCCGGGACTGAAACTGGCTCCCAGCCCGACAACAGGCTGTAAGGGCTCTGCTCACAGCTCATGAAGGTGATCTACTCCCTCGGCCTTGGGTTCTCAGCATCAGGTCACTTCACTCCCAGGGACCAGCGCTGTGGGTTCAGTTGTCAACGATCCCACGAGCTCCTTCTGGGACTGCAAGCCTCGCACGGAACAGCACCATGCCTGAGTTCCTCAGCTTAAAAAAAGTGAGGAGGAGATCATTGCCCCTCCCTTCTCATGTGCTACATCTGTTCTGATTCAAGTGCTATGGGACAAGGACCGCCTCTTGCTGGGATTGCGTAGAGCGTCTGAACAAAAAGAACTTAACCACTGAGCAGCCCCTCCTGCCCCATCCCACATACTTCCAGCTTCCAGCTATCTGGATCCTGCTTCATGCTGAGACAGTAATGCCATGAGAACTTCATGCTGTGCAAGGCATGTGACACATACTGGTGCTGGGAACAAATTCTTTTCAAAGAAACAAATCAAGCCATCCTATCCAGAATGCAGGCCCCCATCCTGTATACAGAGGTCAGACCTCCATCAGCAGCTACTCTTCCTTTCCAAAACATATCTGCTTTGTTCAAAAAGCAGAAATTACATCCCAACTACAAGGCCGGGAGCCAAGGATGTTCAGAGCACAGATGAGAACATGAAGCTGCTCTAAGGGGAAAAATATCCACTATTTGTGTACCTCAAGAGACTTAACTCCACCACTTCCTAGCTCCATATGTCCAGAATGTAGCCACTTCTCTCCTGCTCTTAAAATGTGCTGTAAAAAAACTTGCAGTGTGGAGATACAAGCCCTGCTCAGTTTAAAGCCTGAGGCTCAGACAGTTAATTAAGGAGATGGGCTTAGACTAGGCACTTTGGATGTCTGCTTTAAAGAAAGATTCATTATGTCTCATTATGTCTCTTTTACAGCTAGGAAAATTGAGGTAGAGAATGATCTGAAGATTGTTTTGACATCCTGGAAGGATTTCAGATTGCTTTAAATTGAACAATTTAAATGTACGTTCTTTTGTCAGTTGTGCAGATGCACTCTGTAACCTCTCAGAGGCCATGTAAGGAGCCCTCCCAAGAAGCAGACTTGACTGCACCTTGAATCACTTCCCTTGATTTCCCTCCTGCACACTCCAGAAGGAAGACAGCAATGTGCCAGATAAAACTCTTGAGTTAGGGGCAAAGTATGGAAAGGTTTTCAATGAAGCCAGACACAAGAATGACCATAAAGAAAAGAAATGCAGAAATTAAATGTTTTGCCTAGACTGGAGCAAGTCCCACACAGCCAGGCTGCCAGTACAGGGTGGCACCTGATAACTCGTGGCTGGCAGAAAGCGAAATCTCACCTGCCTCTCTCAGCAGGGGCACTGAGGGAGGTACCCTATGGTCTATGGCTGGGACAAATGCCTCAAACAATGAGATTTGGGAATAATCAAGTCGTAACAAAGAGGGCACTGTAGGTGCCAAGGTGCCCAAATGGTGCATGTTCACCTTCTACACAGTGCTGGGCAGGAAAGCCCACACTCCCGAGGTGACTCTTGTTTCTGGCAAAGGCAGCAGAACCAGCCAACAAGGCTTCACCCCCACAGGCAGGGGCACAAGGCAGAAAGGGACATAGTCAGCAGGCACACAGTGGGTTAACACATTCCCTGAACAGGCTGGCCTGTTTATTCCAAGGAAAGCTTTACAGCTTCTCCTTTCAGGGGTGGTTGTTTCTGGCCTTCAAACTGAAGCACCAAAAAGTCCCCCCTCTCTAAGTTGTGAGAAAACCATGAGCAGCCACAGTCTGAGCAATCAGGACACTGCAGGCCAGGAGCCCCCTCAACCACTTCTGAAAATCCTAAACCACCTGGTTCACTTGCTTTGTCCTGATCCAGTTAATATCTCTACATGTCCAAGGAGGGTGCAGATTTTCTGAGAGCTTACAACCAGCTAAGACAATTAAACTCCTACAGCAAAGGTTATTAGTGCTAAGGCCTTTCCTCCTCCTTAACACCTCTTGCACTGCTTGTGCCACTGGATGACAGCTCTGGTATAGAATGAGCATTCTCCTAGTGTTTGGAAAAGACAACAGTAAGAGGAAAACAAAAGCTCATTTGCCAGTGTGCTAGCCTACTAACAGGACTCTGAGTAAAATCCTTCAACAGCACTGCTGCCAGCTGGAGACAGTTGCCAAGGGGCTTATTTCTGTTCCCACACCCAAGGAGGGTCCTTGTCCAGATGAACCACTGTGGAACAGATACAGGCTGCAGTATGTAACATCTCCAGCAGGAGATGTTCAGAAGCTGGCTCTTCCATGGTAGACAGGAAACAGCTTTGGAAAAAGGCAACACAAAGCCCCAGGAAAGGGGATAACAGTATGGCCCCACACATGTCCTCCATCGATACTCACATAAGCACAGGGCATTGCCTTGCACAGCTGGTACAGCTTCAGCAGCACCACTGCACTTTCTTTCTTACCGACATAAAACATCACAGAGGGGATTTTTCCTTCCCCTGCCTCTGTGCAGTCCTTACCCAGTCCCATGCTGAACTCCACAGGTGTCAGGTATCCATTATTGTTCTGCTCCAAGCTGTCGAAAACAGTCTCCAGCTGCTCAGGGGTTAGGGGCAGTTCACTCTGGAGCCGCTGCAAAAACAAAAGAATGAACAAAATTATGGCATGACTCGTCTTTCCTGGGACTAGCTCCTGTGCCTGCCATCCTCAGCTCTGACCTGCAGCCGTGCGCCCTTTCAACACTGCATCCTGGCCAACAGTCTGCCAGCACAGCAGAGTGATGACACAAAGACCTGTTTGGGCCCACTGATATGGCGACACTTTCCATTCAGTAATGGTTCAGGATGGTTCAATCAGGACTTCAGAAAGGGCACTTCGCATTATTTTGTTTGGAGAGAGCTCAACCCTCTTCCTCTCCCACATCAGAACCACTGCCAGCCTCTTGGCACCCCTGCTGCTCCCGAGAGCTCTCTGGGCACATCAGGTGCAACTCCATCTCGCTGGCAGAGAGGGAGGACAGAGCTGTGGGTGTCTGGGTTCAGTTCCCAGCTCTTGCAGGAAATCTTGCAGATCATAAACAAAACGTTAGTCCATAACAGAGAGATAGCCTTCTCCCGTCATCTTCTGCCTGTTGGGACCGTATTATTATTCCCACAACACAGACAAGGAGCAGAGAGATTTCCCTTCATAATACATGTGCAAAGCACCTAGTGAGAAGGGGCACCTGAAGAAGCTTCCAGATAACAAGAGGTGTAGGCTAAAACCTCATTACTCACAGCTTTAAACATACAGCTTTAGATAAAAGCCTAATAAATATTTATTAATGTAACTATACAAAATTAGGCATCACACAACCCAAACAAAGTGAGTCAATAATTAAACGAGCATAGACCTGCCAAGTGTTAATTAAAGATGGAGGGAGAGATGGGACACGAGAAAAACAATCCACATGTAACCTTTCTGATAAACCGTTAAAACAAAACTCACAAAGGATTGTAGAGATTCTGCTAACAACTACTGTTCTTAACAGAAAGCAGCAAACCACATTATCCTAGGGCAAAGTTATAGTTCAGGCTTATAGTGAATTTTTGTGATCAGGCTTTAGCTATGATTGAGACAAAAAAATTATACAGATGTTTGTGAAGAGGTTGGTGGATTTTTTTTCATTGTTGACTGTGTGGGTTTTTTTGGGGGGTTGTCATTTTGTTTTTTTCAATTAAACCAAAGATTTCTTTCCCCCAGCTTTGCCGTCCACTGCATGCTTAATGTTTGTGGGAACTGTTGCAAATTTTTTCATTCCTTAAAGATTTGGAATTGCAGTCCCACTTGTCCCAGGAACTCCCTGGAGGTCCAAGGCCCTCCTGGGATTTTCAGTTCCTATCAGCTGGCTGTGGCAGAGTTTGGCTCCCAAAAATCTGAATGAGACAGAGCCCATGTGCACACCCACACTTGCCAAAAGTAAAGACATGATACATTCTCCCCGCTTCCGCCACCCATGTCTTCCAGGAAAGGGGAAGGATTTATTTCCCTCACCTGCATGTCCACCTTCGTGATAAAACCCTTCTTGTCCTTGTCACACAGCTGGAAGAGCTCCCTTGCTTTCTCGAGCATCTCCACCTGCACACCTTCCAGTTTGCCCATTTGGCTGGGAGGAGAAGCACCAGGAGCCACCCCATCCTCCTCATCCCCATCATCTTCTCCTTCCCAGTGGACATATCCCAAGAGCACTCCCCTCTGGTTCTCCATCTTCTCAAAGTCTTCTCCCCCACGGCAGGGGCAAATGGAAGAGCTGCCAGACAGGAAACAGAGAAACCCCAGTCAAACATGACCCTCCCACCCTACACACCATCCACTCACATGCCTTGTTGGTTTGAAAGAACAATATCCAGTATCTGCACCTGGACTGGATGACCTTTAAAGGGCCCTTCCAACCCAAACTACTCCACGATTCTGTGCTGTGTTACCGCAGGGAGGGGTGGGAGGGAGTTTGTCTCAGAGGTACACAGCACACACAGGCACACACTGCACACACGTGAGTGTGACCAAGCCTACCACACTGCCCTAACCCTCCACGCTGTGATGTGCTCCAGACCCTGCACTTTCGCCATCTCTCCTCCTCTGGCTCAGACCCACGGGGCAATCAGAGTTCTCTGCTGGTGAAAGCCAGGACCCACACAAAGGTTTTAGCAGAGATGAGATGATGGGAAGGGGATATTAAAGCACACAGGTAAATCTGCATGGGAGCATGGTGAGAGCCCCACATTAGCTGAGACAGGGGGCTCAAACTCCATGAGCAGGGCCAGCTCCCAGCTCCCACACAACTCCCTGGATGCCCTGGCCAGGATGCTTCTCTCTGGTCTTGGTTCCTCTGGTAGTAACACATGCTTTTCCTCCTTCTGTTGCTTTTCTGTGCCATCTCTGAACAGCAAACCCGCATCACAACTGCAAGAACCCAGAGCGGGATGAAGGCAGACAGGAAGATCCGTGCAAGCAACCGAGGAAAGAGAAGAAGGAATGTCTCTCCCAGCCCTCTCCTGCCCAGGTCCCCTGGCTGGCCTTTCACCTCTGACATTTTCTTGTTAATGCTTCCCAAACAGTAACTCCGTCTCCTTTCATGTTACTACAGCACAAAGAAAAGTCAGACAATTCCTACACTGGGAAAAATTTAATAAGCTGGGTACTCCTACCCTCCTTGCCTTCCAGCCTCTGTTTTGAGAGCTCATAAGCTGCCAAACAGAATTTTAATCTGAAATGTTCACCTTTATAGGAAGGAAACCACATGACTATGGAGACATTTCAGAGGCCAAAGAAAATAATTCCCATTAGTTACAAGTACCAAAACCAAAAAAGCTAGGAAAGACAGCAACCCTTTAAGCACAGCACTGTGATTGTAAATATGTGTACAACACATCCCTACCCCAACCCAACTTGTGACTTACTGATGCCACGTAGCACCCTCCGGACAGCTTTTCTTCAGCAACACCACCACATTTTTTAAGCCTTGTCGCACTGATTGCTTTAGACTTCTTCTGCAGATCTGTGTTCTGCATTGCAGGGCAGAAGTGAGCTGTGCAAGCAGGCTGATAGCAGATTTAAACAGTGCTAGACAAAAAGGGCTTGAGGGTTGTTGTGGGTTTTTTTTTAATCTCCAAGAAATTAAAAGCCGCATACAGATGCTGTGATAACAAACAAGTTAATTCTGTTTGCACTCTTAGTACAATGGGAGGATAAAGAGCATGATGGCCAGGAAAAATGTCACATGCAACAACTATATGAAGCTGACATAAAAGCAGAAGGCAATTATGTACCATGCTATCTGACTCCATTTATTACTGCTGGTTTGCGAGCCAGAGGGTGGTTCTGCTTCAAAGAACAAGCAGAACGCTTCACTCCCCCTTTCAAATCAGTGTTTTCTCAGGGCATCACCATTTAGTGTCACTTGAAAGGATATTTATTAGAAACTCTTCATAAGACTACCTATAAATGGGTACTATTATATGTTTCTAGTCAAGCAGACATCCCTGGCAAGCAATGGACACAGAGCTGGACCCAAGCTTTGGGGAATATGGCAGAGGAAAGGAGGGAAAAAAGCATGAAAAGCAAGAAGTGTCTTTCTCTCTTGCTCTTTTTCAAATAAACCCTCCTACCAAGCTTTTTTTGTACATGTGTTATGGAGCCAACGCTGCAAAATTTGGAAACCAATGCTCGATTCTATCCATTAGCTGGACAATCATGTAGTAGTAGTAGTAGTACATGGTAGTAGTAAAGAAACTGGAAAGAACCCCAGCTTACTTTTCACATTCAAGTAAAAGTTGCAAAGCTGGCCTTGAAAGGAAAAAGACCCAAATATCTTACGTTGCATAAATTTTACAGGTGATTATAGTGAGGAATCACATAGCCACACTGATGAATTATTGGCTGCTACAGGCCACCTTGCTGAAGCTTTTTGCAAAACCCATTCCTTCCATGAAGCCACAGTCTCAGCACAAGTAGCACCCTGTACTATACAGTGAGAGGAGGGGAGGAAACGAAACAGGAGTTCAAAGCAAGAGCCATGACAGGACTGTAGAAAACAGACAGAATATGTGTAAATTAGAAATAAGTTTTCTGAAACATCCCTCTAGGTGCCTAAGAGATGCTGAAGTCCCCAGAAATAAAGTAAGATCTTACTTTCTTATTATCAGCTTCATCATCTCTGTTTCAAAAACGGGATCAGTCCATGCAGATGACGTTTGCTGCAGCAAAAAGGTTGTACAAGGAGGATGTTCTGTTCTCTCTCTTGAGACATATTTTCAAGCTGAAATTGGACCCATTACGTCCCTACCTCTACCATTTCCTCATTTTATCAAAAGCCCAGCTGTACTGTAGCTCCCAAACCTTGGCTGAGCTAAAAGTCTCTTAATTAGAAGAGCTGGGAGCCTGACATGGACAAGAATCTGAAAGGATTTCACTCACATGTAAAAGACTAAGCCCATTAATTCAGTGTTCAGAGCACAGTCTCTTGTTCAAGCTGCTTCAAGTGGCTTCAAGCCAGATGTGGCTCTTTCATGATGAGACAGCACTTGTAGAGGAACAAAGCAGCAAATAAGAGCGAGTCCCAGTAAGCAAAACACACTGCAACTTCGGTGGACTTCTCTCCCAGAGGACTGAGAGGCTTGGCCCCATCCCTGTTTGTAAGGGCATTGCATGGTATAAATGGACATGAGGCACAAAGCAGATCTCAGGCTAACAAGCGCTGCCATAACTTCCCCAGTTACAGCTCATCACCACAAACTACTGGGGAAGCAGCTTCATCAGCAAGATGCAAAACATCACTGAAGGACAACTTTGAAAGAGGCTGAGGTCACTAGAGAACTAAAAACTGTGGACAGGTACCCAAAAGTGAAGCCAGCAGAGCTCACTTGGGTGCAGAAAGATCACTGACACAAGTGGAGGACACAGAGAAGATAGGGATGGGCAGTTAATGCTTTAGGTCAGGCAAACCTGTCAGGCTTCCCCAGTGAGATGTAGCCAAGCCACCTCCAGCAGCAAAGCCAGGGGCTGTTACCAAAACCTGTCAGGAGACAGGATTAATTTTTCCAGGTGTCTTCTGGCATTACAAGGTAGTCAATGAGTCAGCACCTGTTATTTCCACACCTAGCCTGGAGTCAGGACAATCTCTGTATCTTGGGCTGTTGATTTCCATCATAAGAACATCTGCAATGGGACACAGCAGAGTACACCTAGCCCAGCATTTTGCCCTCAATGGTGGCTGTAAATGGCTGGTGAGGGAGGAGTAACAGCAGGGCAAGCACAGAGAAAGCGTCCCTGAATAGGTCTGTGAGCTTCCAGCCACTGTCAGTCTGGGGCAATTCCTGAGCCATGTGGTTCCTCCCTCGTCTTCCAAGACACTTGTCCAGACTCCCTTTGAATCCAGATGAAAACACTCACTGTTCACATGAATGTGCTGATAGAAATGGGGTGCCTACTGCAATCAGTGGGTGCTGACAAAGCTTCACGGGACTATTCCAGTTTTCTGGGTACGTAGTTTGACCAGCACCCACTCCACAAGAGATGGAGTCCCAGCTACAGCTCAAACAAGTGTTTCTTGCCACCTTCACACCTGGGAACCGTCACGAGACTAAAAACTCCTCTCCCAGTGCCTGGGAGATCTACCAGAAAGATGGAAGTGCCAGCGACACGGAGGCACCACAGACTCCAATCACCTTGGCAAGCCTTGGTGCATAATGTTCTCTCTCCCCCACCACCCAGAGGTTTGGCTGCCTGTGCTCAAGGCAAGCTCTGATATTGCACAGTCCAGATTCAGGTAGTGTCCAACATCTGAATAACCTGATACAGAGCTCAAGAGAAAGCCAGTCTTCAGGACCTGTGGATTAGACCAGGTATCTCCCGCCACAGAGTATGCTGGGGCCCAGCAAGCAAAAATTCACCTGCTACCTGCTCCTGCAAGACAACTGCCCCAGAGCCTGGAAAGCAAACATAGATCTTCTCAGACACAGCACAGAACAGGAAATTCGACTGCCAGTGAAGACAGCTAACATCAGGTCTTTTATTTCTGCACAGAGATAACTCAGACCAGTCTTACACACGCATATTAACCACCTGAGGCATAAACTGAAGTTTGTCCTGTGCAAAGCTGGGCCAGCTGGATCCCATGGGCATGGCATTCTTTGGGGAAATCATAAGACCTGAATTTTAATCCAGACTCCGCTTGCCATATGGCCCTGGGTAAATCACGTCACCTGCCTATGCTAATAGATTGTCAGCTCTTCCAATTTTGTTCTGATGCTTGTGACAGCTGGCACTTTATTTTAAGACTCAGTTCCTGGAGACTGATAATTACATGTGAAACTCAAGCATCAAAATAGTTTCAAAGCCTCAAAGCTGAAGAATGAAAAACTTCAACACAGAACTTTAAGAAATTGCAAATTTCAACAAACAGAAGAACAGACCCAAGGTTCTTTTCCTGGTAAAGGGAGATACTACTTTCAAGGCAGTGTTACAGGGTCATGGTTTCTGATTTATTGTCTTGGAAAACTTCTTGTAGCAGTAAGCAGTATTAAAGAGGTAAAGTCATGGCTAAAATGGTATCAACAGCCAAGCCCTTATCTATGTGACCGTGACTACCATGTGCACTTGACAACTTTGGGGTGGTTTTTTTTCTTTCCACAGCCTGGTGACAAAGAGGAAAGGAAAGTGGGGAGCACAGCCAGATTTTCCACAGCTGGTCCTTAGCTGACCTCAGTCACCACAGGGCACTGTACACGCACTGAATCCACAGCATTCCTA